CAAGCTGTTCTTTTCTTTACTTGCTGCAACCGAAACCCTTCTCTCTCTCCCCCTCTAACTAAATAATAAACAACCTGAGGGTCTGAGGTGTACATACACCCAAACAATACAGCTACAAGGGGGCCCCTGGGGCCTCCGCCTGTCTGCCTGGCTGTCCTAGGGGCCGCCAAGACACTTGGGGGCCCCCTGTGGGCCCCCAAAACAGTTGGGGGCCCCCTGGGGGCCCCCAAGACACTTGGGGGGCCCCTGGGGGCCCCCAAGACAGTTGGGGGGCCCCTGGGGGCCCCCAACACTCAGCGGGCCCATGAATGCACATTGAAGGGGCTCGAGAGAAAGGAGGGGGGTACCCGGCCCCATATGCAGCCCCCGTTGACACAGAGGGGCCCCCCAGAGACAGGGGGGCCCCCAAGAACGGGGGGCCCCCCTGTAGCTTGCTGAGCCCCAAAAGCAACCGATTGAGGAGCACTCCATCCTCCTGCTGCTTCTCCTGCTGCTGCTGCTGCTGCTGCTGCTCCTGCTGCAGTCGGCTTGCCCGTAGGGTACGGGGGGCTCCTCGGTGAGGGGGCCCCCCAGTGTGGAGAAGCCGGGGGCCCCTGGGGCCCCTTACGTACAGCCCCCGCTAGGGGCAACGCTGCAGGCAGACAAACAGAGACAGTGAAAGGGCATCAGGCGCTTATGTCACGCTGGCTGTGAGCTAGCCAGACAGCTAGCNACAAACAGAGACAGTGAAAGGGCATCAGGCGCTTATGTCACGCTGGCTGTGAGCTAGCCAGACAGCTAGCTAGCTAGCTAGCTAGCAAGTCAGCTGGATAGCTAGCTAGCTAGCTAGCTAGGCAAGCTAGTTAGTTAGCTAGCTAGCTAGCTAGTGAGGCTTCTAACTGTGCAGCAACCAGCGGAGGCAAGCAAACGCCTGCAGCAGTTTCAGCTGCCGTACACTACGAGAATATCTCATCTATGACCCCAACTATCCAGCTAGCTAGCTAGCTAGCCAGCTAACTAGCTAGCTAGCTAGCTAGCTAGCTAGCTAGCTAGCTAGCTAGCCAATGGTTTCAACGTTCTTACTCACCCTGCTTGATCTGCCAGTCTGCATACTGCACAATGTGCTGCAGCGGCACAACGAAGCGGCAGCTCGGGCACGGGACCCCTCTGAGTCCTGCTGCTGCTGCTTGCTGCAGCAGATCCCCTTCTTTCTCTGCTTTCACTTGGGGGCCCCAAGGGGCCCCCCCGCTCTCCCCCTGTACACCCTGGGGGGCCCCCAGGCTGCCTCGCCGGGGCCCCTCTTGCTGTGAACTGCGGCGGCTCACAGAGAAGTCGCGGGGGCTCAACGGCACAGGCGGCAGTCCTAGAGAGTCCCTGGGGCTCCTCAGGGGGCCCCTTGAGGGGCCCCCGGGGGGCCCCCCAGGGGGCCCCCCAGGGGGGGGNCCCTGGGGCTCCTCAGGGGGCCCCTTGAGGGGCCCCCGGGGGGCCCCCCAGGGGGCCCCCCAGGGGGGGGACCCAGATACCCCTTCCCATAGGATGCCGCCAGACCACCACCATTTACTTGTTGTGAGCTGGCTAACCCTCCTGGGGGCCCCCCGGGGGGCCCCCCAGGGGGCCCCCAATGGGGCCCCCAAGGGGGGCCCCGCATTGAGGGGGCCGTCTCTGTCTGCGCGTCTGTCGCCTGCATACCGAGCAGGTCTGTCTGTCTCCTTCCTGCTGCAGTGTACAGACGGGCCCCTGGGGGGCCCCCTGGGGGGGGCCCTGGGGGCCCCTGTCCACTGGGTACGAGCTGGCGCCAGGAGTCTGAGACCCTTTGCTGCCACTCCACCGGAGATGCAGGAGGACTGCCAGCAGCAGCAGCAGCAGCAGCAGCAGCAGGAGGTTCTGCTGCTGCTGCTGTTGTCGAGATGGTGTAAGTAGGAGAGTCGTTTGGGGGGGCCCCGGGGGCCCCCGAAGAGGTCGGCGGTACCTTACCGCGGGGAGTTAAGGGGGCCTCCTCTGATGAAGACCTGCTGCTGCTACTGCTGCTGCTGCTGCTGCTGCTGCTGCTGCTGCTTTTGCTGCTGCTCCGCTGCAGCAACACATAACACATAGATGCAAACAGTGGGGAGGAGACAGCAGCAAGGAGACACAAAGAAAGGCACAGCAACATATCTTCTGTCTCCTTCTTATTTTATTTATATTTTCTCGTTTTTCCCTGGCTCTCTATTGCTGCTACTAGGTTATATATTTATAGTTTCGGTTTATGTTTATCTGTCTCTCTGTCTCTCTCTCTGTCTCTCTCTCTTTCCCCGTCAATACACTTGTCTCTGTCTCTCTGTCTGTCTCTGTCTCTCTCTCTCTGTCTGTGTCTCTGTCTTTCTCTCTTTGTCTCTGTCTCCCCTTCTCTGTCTCTCCCCGTCTCTCTCTTTCTCTCTACCCTGTACCTCTGTCTCTGTCTCTCTGTCTCCCCTTTCTGTCTCTCTCTTTCTATATCTCTCTTTCTCTCTCTCTCTGTCTATCTCTGCCTCTCTATAAGCTGCTGCATCTCTACTGTCTCCTTCTATCTCCTTCTGTCTCCTTTTGTCTCCTTTTGTCTCTCACTTTGCTTGTTGTCTCCTCCTGACGATACCGGGCCCTGTGGCTCAGCAGGGGCCCCTGGCTGGGGGCCACCATAGAGGAGGAGCGGTTGCGGGCCCCCCGTCTGTCAGTACCCTCTGGCGGGGGGGCCCCCAGATAGGTGGGGGCCCTCCCCCTCGTACTCATCTTCACAGCCACACAGCAGCAGCAGCAGCAGCAGCAGCAGCAGCAGCAGCGGTAGCAGCAGCAGCAGCTGTCGTCTTCTTGTCGTTAGTTTGTCGCCGAGGAGACCAAGAAAAGACAACCCAGGCAAACACAAATACAGCACGCAAACCCGAGACCCTAGGGTTTAGGGTTTAGGGTTTAGGGTTTGGGGTTTATGGTGTATGAACAGTGCGCTGAGATGGATGAGTCGAAGGCTGCAGCCACACGTCGATGGCTCTACCCGTGTAGCTGCTGCTGCAGCTATTGCAGGTGCAGCAGCAGCTGCTGCTGCTGCTGCAGCAGGTGCTGCAGCAGCTGCGGCAGCCCCGGATCTATATGTACACCTCTGTGTTAGCTTTGCCACAGAGGAGACAGCGGGGGTTGCTGCAGTGCAGCAGAAAGAAGAGGGAGA